CAGTGAAATCATTTGGTACACGAAAGTACGGACGCGTCTGCTTTTCATCTCCCTGCATTAATAATTGTGTATGAGCTGTGAATGTGGTTATAAATATCCAAGTGGCTGTTGGCAGAAAAATGGTCTTGCTCCTGCAATATTTCTTCATTGAGTTGTTAGGGTGTAACAAGAAAACATTTTCATAGCAAGCTGTGGGAAGTTCCTTAGGTGAAGAAAAATCCGATTTGGAGCTTTCGTTTATAAAGCAGCATAGCATCAATCCTGTGCCTTGTGTGCAAAGGTTCTGGAAGATTTTTCCTCTAATACTGAAATTTGAAGTAGAATCTTGGTTACCTTATGTATTTCAAAAAAAGTCAAGTGCAAAGCTGGGTGTTGGTGGCTCCTGACTATAACTCTAGCTGCTCAGAAGGCTGAGAGCAGAGGATTGCCTGGGCAGGAAAGTCTATGAGACTTTTATCTCAAATTAATTACCAACAAGCTGGAAGTGAACTGTGGCTCCAATGGTAGAGCACTAGCCTTGAGTGAAGGAAGCTTAGAAACTTCAAGCTCTGAAACTGGCGTGCACACGCGCACACACACACACACACACACACACACACACACACATATACATGAAGTGCAGATATGAGGTATGATTCAAGTGGTAGAGCACCAGGAGTGAAGATGCCAAGTGAGGGTGCAAAGCCTTGAGTTCAAACCTTGGTTCTGGCATAAAAGAATAGATTAAAAGCATCAAGTTCAAAGTAATCCAAATTTATTTGCTAGCTTTTAATTTATTTTTAATTTATTATTTATTTTTTTTGGGTCCGGTCATGGAGCCTGAACTCTGGGCCTGGGCACTGTCCCTCAGTTCTTTAGCTCAAGACTAGTGCTCTCCCACTTGAGCCACAGCGCCACTTCCGGCTTTTTTTTTTCTGCTTATGTGGTGCTGAGGAATCGAGCCCAGGGCCTCATGCATGCAAGGCAAGCGTTCTACCACTGAGCCACCTTCGCAGCCTAGCTTTTAATTTAATAAATAGTTATGATGCATCATTTTCCAAATGGCAATGATATTAAAAAGTCATTTAAGGTACCTAGAGGGCTCCTAAAAATGACACTTCTGCCTACTTTATCACTCTGCATGCTTCCTACTATCTGTGTCTTCTGTTATTTTGCTAATTAGTGTAAAATTAATCCATGCTCATAAAAACCTCAGATTTGACTGAAATGTGGTACAAATGCCATCTCCTCCACGTCACAAAAATTTTACGTGATAACCGCTCATTATTTTGAGTGTGCTAGCAAAGGACATTTGTGTTCCTTGCACAAAATATGCATTTCATATTCTTCCTGTTTTAAACAAAATCAGAGAACTCATACATCAGCCAGAAGAGAAGGGCAAGGCTGGCTCCTAAGAGACCCCCACCCCCATTCCTTTTCTCTGTCTGCCATCTTTGTCCCGGGACCTCTTTCTTCTAATCCATAAAGATGCTGAAATCATTGTCATAGCATCGATCTAAATCTATGAATTTCTATTATTTTCGAAAAAAAAAGTAAGTGAGATCTTTTGAAAGGTTATCTAATTAATCATCCAGCTGTTCAGCTGGCAAGGAATTGTAATTAGGGATTGTAATAGGATGCCAGAGGCACCCAGGAAATAGAATCAGGAGTATGAAAAGATCTGATTAGACAGTGTGTTGCTACTTATTAGAGCGCATGTCTGCAGGCTAGATTCTTAGACCTGGTTCATAATACCTTGGAGTACTCGTAAACACACACACACACACACACACACACACACATGCACGCACGCACACTCGCGTGCACGCGCACACACATGCACACACACCAGTGACCAAGCTCAGAACATAGAAAGTTTTACCCTATAATCTAAGTTTGGAAAACCACTGACTGACATCAACCATTCTAGAAGAAACATTTGAAGCAATGACCATGTACAAATGCTAGGCATTTCTGTAGAAAGGAACAATCTGGTGCTGTAGACATTTGGCATGGAGGTTGGTTAGTACAAAAAAAAATGTGATCAGTGGAACAGGGTAGAATTTTCTAGAAGGGAAAATTGACCAATGGACTAGGGCAGAACTTTCTAGAAAAGTCTGGTTGTTAGAGTCTAGTTATCAGGATTAAACAATGTTATCTGATATGTATGTTCTTGGGAATATTAGTCTGGGTGTATGGTATGCAAAACAGCCTCAATCTACAGCAATGATAAAATGAGTTTGGAGAGAGGGCTATTCTTGTGACCAAATATGCTGGAGATAGGCTAGTAACTGTTCCTGTCATAGGTGATGCGTCAGGTCACATGACCCACTCCCAAAGGCCCTGTGATGGAGGAGTGTGTTGGACTTGGTTTTGTTTCTAAGCCATCTTTCCCAAACATCGAACCTACAGTCCTACCTTACAGAAAACCACTTTGAATGAAGAAACATTGTTCCCAGAATTGTGGATGGAAGGCTGTCAAAGTTACTGCTGTGCCTTTGTGCAGAGTAAGATAAACAAGTGGATTAATAATAATCAAACCCCAAGAAACCCAGCCCTGCCTTAATCATGCGAAATAAACAAAATAAAGCAGGAAGATCTGCTCAGTTTCGGTGAGACCGTCTCAGATAGCAAGGTGTGGGCCCAGACTTGCAATGAGCAGAGCACCTGGGCAGGGGGAGGGGGAGGGGGCTTCCCAAGCAGAATTGACTCTCCGTGCATAGCCACAGTAGGATGGAACCTGGTTTGGTCAAGGAAGTCCAGCGAGGTTAAAACGTGGAAGACTCTGGGGTGTTTGCATAAAGTGTTGGGGTTTTGCTATAGTTTAATTTACCTTTACAAATCTTATTGCTGTCCAGTAAGGGGAAGACATTGGGACTGTGGGTGTGTATGTGGGTAATGGCTGAGGGCCAAGAAGAAACTATGAGTTGTTTTGTTTCATTTTATTTTGTTTTGTTTGGGTTGGTCCTGGGGCTTGAACTTGGAGCCTGGGTGCTGTCCCTGAGTTCTTTTTGCTCAAGACTAGCACTCTACCACTTTGAGCCACAGCTCCACTTCTGGTTTTCTGGTGGTTAGTTGGATGATAAGAGTCTTACAGACTTTCTTGCCCTTGCTGGCTTTGAACCGTCATCCTCAGATCTCAGCCTCCTGAGTAGCTAGGATTATAGGCATGAGCCACCACACACCTAGCTCTCATGTTGCTTTTGTAAGAGGAGAGCGTTTCATGAATCTGCGTGATCCTCATTGAGATAAAGAGGGGGATTTTGGCTCTTATTTGCTACTACAGATAATCTGTTTTACCTATAATTTGGAGGTACCTGGGGTTGATAAACCTAAAAATGGGTATATGGAGGTATGGATGGGGCCAGAGGGCAGAGAACTGGTTGCTAAAACAAATCAAATTAAGTTTGTCATGAAACATTCAACTTCTTTTCTTTATACTATATTCAATTTTTTTCTAAATTCCTGGTAAAAGTGTATAGAAAGAAAAGCAGGTAAATGAACAGACTGCCTGAGTCTTGATGTTTACATTGAGTTCACTTCTGTCCTATTGGCTTTTGAGATCAGCCATGGTGAATCTGCATATGTCATTGCTTATGTCATTTTTACATATGCTATTTTTTTTTTGTCCATCGTGGGGCTTGAACTCTGGGTGTAGGTGCTACCCCTCAGCAATTCAGCACAAAGTTAGCGCTCTACCACTTGAGCCACAGCGCCACTTCCGGTTTTGTGAGTGGTTTAGTGGAGAGAAGAGTCTCACAGACTTTCCTGCCCGGACTGGCTTTGAACCGTGATCCTCAGATCTCAGCCTCCTGAGTAGCTAGGATGACAGGCCGGAGGCACCAGCACCAGCCCATATACTGATTTTTACAGTTAAGAAAGGGTGAAGGGGAAGGAGAGAGGAATAGCAAGAAAGAGAGAGGAAGGATAGGAGGCGAAGCATCAATGAAATACGAATGATGGAGAACACTTCCGGTTTTTGTTGATTTCTCCGTATGTGAAGTGCTAAAGTGTCTCATGCAGGAAAAAAATAATAAAAGCAGGTTAGCAGGTGCTATAAGAGCGAGAGTTTGCAGGTGAGCTATGCCTCCGGTACAGTGCATCCTGATGTTGCAGGAAACGACATGGCACCAGTGCTTTCTGAAGAATGGTTTTGCAAACACCAAAAGATTTTTCCCCCCCTCCACCTTCCTGACCTTTAATGTCTTCAGCTGCAATTTGACTGTGCTGGCTTAGCATCATTCTGAAGGTCTCTTGGAGCTTTCAAATTCTAGACCGTGGAAGTCTAATTATAGGTCTTTCCAAAGTTTTATTGTTTGCAGTTCCATTTAGCAACTTGAATGTGTGTCTCAGGCTGTGGGCGGTTGAAGCCTGGCGCCCGATACTCGGCTGTGGCTCCTACTTCATGTTGACGATGCTTTCGTTTATGTTAATGAAGAAGATGGAGAGATACACATCCTAACTTTGCTTCTTCATGGAGGGGATGAGCACCTTCTTTGCCAAACCAGATCATAGGTTTCCAATACACCCTGGAGCTTGAACTCAGGGCCTGGGTACTTGTTCCTGAGCTTCTTTGGCTCCAAACTAGCGCTCTACCACGTGAGTCACAGAGCCATTTCCAGCCTTTTTCTGAATAGTTAATTGGAGATAAGAGTCTCATGGACTTTTCTGCCCGGGCTAGCTTCGAACTACGATCCTTAGATCTCAGCTTCCTGAGTAGCTGGGATTATAGGCGTGAGCTACCAGCACCCAGCTTAGAAGCAATCTTTATTGAGGATATCACAGTCCAAAGTTACTTTTAATGTGTCTGGTACGATTTACACTATTTTTAGTAAAGCAAAAAGTTTTGACAACTTTTGTGGCTAGGGAGGTGTTAGGACAAAGCTGTGACTGATTTCTCTAAAGGAGCTGGCCCTTGGCCTCGTGATAAAGTAAAACCTGCATTGCCCATGGTTCTTCTAGAAGATGGTGGGATGGATGCTCTCCAGGGACATTGATTTCCTTCTTTCCCTCTTTTCTAGGGATTTTCAGGAAATGCAAACGCAGACAGCGTTGTGTACTCTAGGCTACAGCCTTCTGTCAAAGCCAGGTTTCTGCGCTTCCTTCCTCTAGAGTGGAATCCTAAGGGCAGAATTGGGATGCGGATCGAGGTGTTTGGATGTGCCTACCGTAAGTGTTCATTTACTCAACACACTAACAGAGATATTAAAGGACATGCTTAAGAAGCCAGGCCACTAACCAAAAAATACACTTTTGCAGTAGGTAATTAGACCTTCAGATGGAAAGGCTTCTGGTTAACATCTTCTTTGTGTCCATGAATGTCACTATTGACTTTCATCTTCAACTCCAACTTTGTTTTTGGTGCCAGCCTGGGGGTTGAACTCAGGACCCAGGCACTGTCCTTGAGCTTTTTGTTTTACCCTCAAGACTGGTGCTCTGCCACTTGAGCCACAACTCTACTTCCAGCTTTTTGGTGATTAATTAGAGATTAGAGTCTCCTGGACCTTCTTGCGTGGTCTGGCTTCAAACTGTAATCCTCAGATCGCAATCTCCTGAGTAGCTACCACTCTTAACATTTTAATCCAGAGATGAAATTAGCTTGTCGATAGACAGATATTTGTAACATATGCAAATACATTATATTGAGTGATCAAAAATTTAAATGTTAGAGCTTTCTCCCTCGAGGAGTTATACTTTGCTGGTGTTTCATTCAGATAACCCCGAATTTAATGAAAGAGACAGAGGTTCATTTAGTTTATTCAGTCAAGTGTTAGGAAACCAAAGAATGTTTTCCCTCTTTTGCCCAAAAAGAAAGTGCTAATTCCTTTTTCAAATGCACTATGCCTTCAGCGTAAATTAACAGAAAATATACGTAAAGATCTCTGTCAGAATATAAAATGTGTTTGAAACGTTGTCACATGAAAAGAGAAAAGAACAACCACCAATTTCACTTCATCTCCTCTTAATGAGGCATTTTATGATATCTCTTTGTGGGGAAGGGACCTAAAGGTTATTGATAGTCTACATCAAGCCAACCATCCTGCCGGATACTCCTTTATTAGAGAACAATGAGTGAGTGAAGATGATCTACAATTACCAGACAAACAGTCAGAGGTTGAGAGAGACTCAGTTGCACTAGCTCATTTGTCTTCTCCCAAACTGTTATTTTCAGCCACTATAGTTTTTGTTTAAATGCTCTCTCTCTCTCTCTCTCTCTCTCTCGCTTTATGATGTAATCCTAACTAGGTTCTGCTTCACTTTATGTACATCAAAGGAAAGCATGTCATAAAGAAGTCAAGGGATATGATGAAGTGGTTTTCACTGTGTCTGGGCAAGAGCTCATGCTTTAGCAAAGATGCATGTCTCCGTGGGTGTCTAGTGGTTTTCTTGGTACCCATCTCTATTATCACTCAACAAACCTGCTATTCATTTTAGGGCCGTCAGAATAATAATGATATTGATATGATAATGAATTGATATATTAGTAATAGCCGTATCAATGGCACCAACATTAACAGCATTAATTTTCCTCAGACTGAAAATAGAAACTTTTGCATGAGCACTTATTATATGCATTTGAGTGCTTAATATGTGCATTGTAATAATCAGCTCAAAAGAGCCCAGATAAATATTACCAACTATTTCTGCATTTGCCCAATCTGCTAATACCGAAGTTTAGAGCAGTTGACTCGCCCAAGCCACACAGACAGAAAGGGGTAGGGGCTGGGTTTTCAGTCATGTGTGCCAGAGCCCAGGATTCAGGCTCTTCCTCCCTCCAGCTGTGGGGCTGCAGATATGAGCCATTGGACAGCTTAACCTCTCAACATCTGCCTGACTGAACTCCCGGCTTTCCTGGCTTCCCTTTCCCAGCTTAGTTCTTCTGATTACATTAGTATCTCACTTCCCAAATAACACCCTTAAAAAAACGATACAATCATCCTTTAAAATAAAATCCCTTTGCTCTGCTAAGATGGTGGATCTCCGTGGGTCATGGAGTTTGTCAAAATGCACGCTACATGATGGATTGTCAGGAAAACAAATTCCAGCAGGCTTCACATTCATAAAGACATTCTTGATTTATTCTGAATGCCTATCTTAGAAAAATATTTATTATAACATAGTAGAGGAGACAGTTACTGCGTGTGTCACACATGTTCTGAAGGGACGTATTCGAATTCAACCCTCGTCCCACTTATTTGTTAGAGAGTAAACGAGTTCTGAGAGAAACTCAGCCATGTGCCTGATTGCTCAAATCAGATGCAAATCAGATGCAAATTAGATGCAAACCAAATGTTGCTCTGGTCACTGTGTCCAAGCATTGGTGCCAGTTAAGGTACAGGTTTCTTTAAGTTTTGAGTCATATGACTCGGATCATTCCTCATGTTCCTGGATCTGGCTTAAAGCCTATCAGTGCAGATGCAAGATTGTGAGAACAGAGAAAGCAAGATTAGGTTGATTTTTTTCCCCCTCCAGACACAGGAGATAACTATAAGCAGGAAAAGTGCTGCTGAAGATAGGGAAGTGCTCTCTCTCTCTCTCTCTTTCTCTGTCTCTCTCTCTGTCTCTCTGTCTCTGTCTCTGTCTCTGTCTCTGTCTCTGTCTCTGTCTCTGTCTCTCTCTCTCTCTCTCTCTCTCTCTCTCTCTCTCTCGGTTAGCAGCCCTGGGCCTCCTATCCATGCTTAGTGAAGGAAGCCTCCCCTGAGCGTAAGCAAGGCCAAAGGATTTTCTGTAACCTGCCAGCCTCCGCTGCCTGTATCTCCCGCCTGCGCCAACTTAATGTGATTCTTGGCTGGCTGTGCCATTCCCTTGGGAATTATGCATCACAGAGCATTTCACATCTCCTTCTGTGGAAGAAAGGGAACCTTCGAGAAATGAGAAACTTTGTCCAGGATCTTACAACTTGTGTGAGATCTCAAATTTAAAATTAGTTATATCATGACTTCCAATGCCATTGCTTTTGGTGAGTGTATGAATCATAGATGTACACACCATTGGGCCAAATACCAACATTTGCTGAAAGAGAATTCTATGCTTTGGGCATAGGGAGAAAATTATATATATTCAGTTTGTGGTACAGGCATTGAACCTAGGGCCTCAGGCCTGCATTGCAAGTGCATCTACCATTTGATCTCTAACCCTAGCCCTTGTGTCCACATTTTGTTTTTGAGATCAGCTCTTGTTAATTTGGCTTAGGGTTGTCCTCAAACTCAAATCTTCCTGACTCTGCCTCCTGAGTAACTGGGATTATAGGCATGCACCTTTACTCCTGGCTAGTAATATATATTCCTCATAAGGATAGACACGTACAATGTTGAAAACATTTATACTCACGGAATGCAAACTGTCCTATCATAATTGCAGAAGAGGCAACGTAAGTGACAAATGGAGATTGATATAAGAAAATTTATAGTGGTCAGCTTTGGAAGATAATCCAGAAAGCAGAAATGGTGCAGAGAATTCTAATGCAAGAGGTGCAGGTGGGAGGGCTAAATTTAGAGGTACCAAAGACCCATCAGAGTCTCTGGTTCTTATGTGTTCAAGACATGGCTGAGTCTAACCCTAGAAAACCAGTGTGGTCGCTGTGTGGGGGGACTGTGAGTTACTGTCTGGAAGGTTGTATAAATAGGTTCTGGAAGGGCAACAAAGGTGGAATCAATTCCATTCTTGACTCATAGAGTTCAAGTGCCTTTGAAATCTGAAAGGTTAGAATTCCAAGCTTCTGGCTCCAGCATCGAGAATACAAAGTTACATAAATATCACATTAATAAATCAGACTGTTCCACCTGTCTCACTGCAAAGAGTGTAAGTACAAAGTGTCATGTCTGGAAAATGGTTATGCCTCTCCACCACAATTAAAGCAAGTCCTTTATCCTGTTTTATTTTCATACGTTGAACATATTTTTATAGACAGCCCCCTTGTGCCTAATATGTGTGGTTCCTAAAGTTATAGAGGCACGCTGTCCCGCGGTGATCGCAGGCAAAAGAGGCCCACACCTAATTTCCTTCCTCACCAAGATGGAGCCATACCTAGTTGTAAAAGGACACTAAACCAGTGGAAAATCCATCGCAAAGAGCATGTCCTTTTATGCCAGTAAACTCGAGCTTGTTTCCTAGCAATGAGGGAAGTAGAAGCGCAATTTTATGGCATCAAACAGAAAGTATACATTTTAGATATCTTGGCCATAGCAGCTGTGAGTCTGGTGATTGATCTGGAGAGGAGGAAGGAAGGATATAGCCCATGGAAGAGAGCAAGGATGAAAAGAAAAATCTTTGATGAGGAGGAAATGCTTCTTGACTAGATAATGCTCCCAAGAAAATTATGGTAAACAAAGGCAGTGGAGGGCGAAGAGCTGGGGAGAAGCCATTGTGCCTGCATGCCCTTAGCAAGCGGGGGTGAATTGTGGAGGTAAATGTCCTCAGTGTACATTTGCAATTCATTTTCTCTAGTCCTGTGTAGACACCCTCCTTCCACCGGCCATGTTTGTTTCCCAAACACAGAGTGAGGAGCATTGTCCAGCAGCATGGAATGAATTTCAGTTCCTTTGCAGTAGTTTTCGCAGGATGGTCAGGGCAAGAAGTCTATGCTAGGCCTTCCTTTCTTCCATCTAGAAAGTTCATTTATTCCTCTTTTCTCAACATAGAAATCAATTCCTGGCAACTTCCCTGGTACCCCACTTTCAGATCAGGGGATGTGTCCAGCCTTTCTGCTCCCCGTCATGCCTGCCTGCAGCCCGAGGTCCTTACCCTGTCATTCATCATCTGGAGGGGTGAATTTATGAATGGAGCAAGGGTAGGAGAGGCTCAGGGAGGTTTTCTCCAATCCACCCAGGGGCACACTCCACCTCTAAAGAGGGAGAACAGAGTTCAAAGGTTGGATGAGAACAAATGCACCATCAACTAATGCATTTCATTGCTTAAGTGAAGACTGTGTGAAAGAAAATGATGGGTTCTAATAAAGGAACCATGAGCCCATTTCAAAAGTATGAGCCTAGAACGGGGTGCTGGTGGCTCACGCCTGTAATCTTAGCTACTCAGGAGGCTGAAATCTGAGGATTGCCAAAGCCAACCTGGGAAGGAACGTCTACAGGACCCTTATTTTCAGTGAACTATTCAGAAAAAGCTTGAAGTGGTGCTGTGGTACAAAGAGGCTCAGGGATGGTGCCCAGGCC